ACATTCATATTCGGACACAGCGTTATCTCTGTATTTGTCGCTTTCTATAAGATGGGATGATTTAAGTATCGCGTCGTCCATTCTACGAAAATATGAACTATTTATTGCAGTTTGAAAATACGTAAATGTTGCTTCCTAATAATAACACTTAACTGTATTTTTCACGTCGCATTAATATTCGGACATGTTATGAAAAAGAAAAATATTCTGTCTGCAGAAGTTCGAACATGCGAAATGTATGATGATGAGCGGCGACAATATAAACCGCATATTTTTGAATAAAATAATTATAATGTACGGGGTGTAAAAAAGTTATTTAGTTGAGACCATAGAGTTGTTTTATGGATCACCTCTAGATTTGTGGACATCTGCAAAAAAATTAACTGCAAAATTGACCTAGACATTGACCTTGAAATTCAATGTAATGCGTGAAAGTAGAGCCCATGTAATTTAAAACGAGTCCAAGGGTGCTGTTGCATGACTTTTTCTTCACGAAGTTACAGCAGTTCAAATATCGACAATTTTTCGGGCAAAATTCAGTAATTCTTTAAAAAGTGTTATCGTAGAACAGATATTTTAGGATTTGTATAATAGAAGCATATATATATTTTTCATAACAAAAAAATCATAGAAACTAGTATTCACTATCTGTTATAATAATAATTGAGAAGTTTTTTTAATATTGATAAGCAAAATATCCGTTCCTGCTACAGAAAAATTTTTGCTTTCATATTTTATAAGATCTGTCGAAAGTAAAACTTTTATTTTCAGGAACTTTCCTTTGTATCTGTCCTCATAGGAACTCATAACGTGAGAAGGTTCTCTAAAAAAGTTTCACGGTCCATGTTTTAAACAAAGCCTATTAGAAAGTTCCATTACTCTTTGGCTCCTTGGTTTATATGATCTCTTTCCGTTGCACAGGCTGCGTAGAACACCGTACCAAAGTTTGGTCACCTGTTTCTGAGGCAGCCTGTACGGATATTAGAAATAAATGGTGGTTATCGAGGGAGATACTATTGTTCCACCCTCCTAATGCGGCTTAACAAGTTGACGTACAAAGTCGCCAGATCGAATTATCGAAGCTTACGCCGAAACCACGCTAGATCAGTTATTTATCCTGGACAATGAACCACCAATGCCAGTTATAGAGACCGTTAAGGGATATTAAGTGACCAGGGGATGGAAAATCCACGCTCACGGGTTATGCGATAACAGTGCTTTGGAGTATCCGATAATAATAAGAAAGTACGATTTTTCAACGTGGCATTTCAGAATTACACGTAAAAAGAGAATCGGACGATATCGAATTATCTTCAATGTAATTAGCGTTCCATAAATTTACTTCTTTGATTTTTCTTTATTTTCACACAGTATACAGTGTTATACAAAGAAAAGTTGAAAATTTATATTTACTACTCACAGTAACTTTTGTATTAAAAATTTATCCTCATATTCGGAACAGTCATTTATTCCATTTTACGTATAGTTTTCATTTATCGCTCTTATTCAATAAGAAATCGTTTTTTAAAAATTACGTTGTCTTCTAATTCTTCTTATTTTATAAACTTCCTTTCGTCCGCCACTGCTAGTAACCGCCAATAGTATATTATAATATAATATTTAAACCTTTTTTCAGATTTCTATTATTTCGCTATCGATGTAGTATATTGTTGTTTTGTAATTCATGCATCTTATTTAATCAGCTATTACTGAAATATTTTTTGTTTACAAATAATTTATTTCATGTTGCTCTCCCAGTTACAAAATTCTAATACAAACATGAATTTTCTATTAATGAAGTGTTAAGCCAACTGGTCATCACTTTTCGTATACAGAAGATTAATTAGTATAAACATCTAACAAATTTGGCGAAATTTGATACTAGGAAATTCCATAAAACATAAACTTTCTATTCCATCACATTTATCCTTACAGATACACCTTCGCAAAGGCATGGGCACGACTTTCATCCGAAAGACAGCCTGTAGGAAAAATAAGCAATCACTTCTATTGCGTTTCGGCAACCAATCAAATTAATTAAACTTAAGGTCAAATATAGAAAACTGATGAAATATGGAATGGTATACCTAATTGGAGTAGTGCCGTTTTTAAAAACCTGACAAACGAATATCGGTCAGGTAGCTATAGGCTATCTCACTCGCTCACTGTGATGAAGAAATATGGATCAAGCGCCTAATGTGCGGACTTTGAACATATGATGAATGTGTTGATGCAGAGTTCGACACTTGGATACGTGACTATCGCAAATAGCTATCCTTTTTATGTCATTTTTTTTTACATGTGATTTTATAACTAAAATGCCTTGATCAATAAAAATAATAAAGAAGTATAGAATAGATAGAGAAGATAGAATAAAAAGAAAAATAAAAGACATTGTATCTGATTTCAGGTATTCCATATTTGGCCACTTTGCCCTATACCGCCTCCACAAATTCAGTTTCACGGAAAGGTTCGCCAACAGATTAACGAATTAAAAAACGAAAACATTTGCGCATCGTTTAAACCCTATTCAAACATCGTACAAGATACTTCCATACTAAAGTTAATTGACTATAGTTACAAAAACCAACGAACGAATAAAACACATTTCCCTTTGAGCAATTTTTCCACGTTAATAATTTATTGTCACGCGACAAGTATTTTATCGAGAGTAAGCGTAACTCTTCTTCAGAGTTCAATTCGCTATCTTATTCGTATCGAAACAGCGAGAAGATTGAATATTTTTCCATATGATGCCGTTGGAATATTTGATTCGAGAATATTACGGTCGAACAACTTTTATTCCGTAAATCGCGTTCGAAACTGTAGAATTGTTAAAACTTTTCAAAACGAACGATGCACTATTACAGCAAAGCGTCGCAAGTGCTAGTGTATACGAGTTTATCTACATATGACGTGTCTCAGGCGATGCAATTGAGCGGGAGGCAATTCTTCGTGCACAAATAAATTAAAAAAAAATTGTCTCGTTTCAGGTCTCGTTTTCGAGAAAATTGAGTTTGACATAGAATAGGATATTCATATTGGAAATGTCCGATGGGGAGTACGTGAGTACTTGTTGAATTTTCAAATTCAATTTCCTCGGAAACGAAGCCTCAAACGAACAAATTTCATTCTCTTTTTCGATTTACAGCGCTTCGTGAAAGTATTCGTACACTTGTCGTCGAAAACTTCCACGTGTCCACAGTATATCATTGCGCACGTGTTATGCTATGAAACATTTTGAAATTTCATTAGCACTATTATGAGATGCAATCGCCATCATTATATTGGCGAAATTTGAATCCGATCTGAAAATATATGCCAGAGTATACATATATACGCGCAGGCGGTGAAAACATATATTTTTCTGTCTGCAGTCATTTTCGGATCGTCGAGTGCACGTTACGATAACAAATAATGCGATTGAGACTTATCTTGCTTCTGTAATTCATTCTCTGTGAACTTCCATCTTAGTCGTTTACTTTCGAAATCTTATGAAACTATTCCAAAGTCACAAGGGATGAGTCATGGTTAGATGCGTTTTGATCTCATCTTTTTAATAGTAAATAAGGAAATAGGTTACTTCGTTAAAAAAAAAAAAAAGAAAAGACGTTGCAAATTACTAAAATTTCGAAAGATGTGATCCAGAGATGACATTCATTTTCATAGCCTAATTTCCCCCTTACAATACAATGACCTTCTCTCGAAATATTTTCTTGTATCACGTAATATTGTACGATATATTTATTGTATATTTTATATTTAACAAATAAGAGAGTAATTAAGGGAGGCCGAGTTAAACGGGACACCCTGTATACATGAAAAGTTTTTGGGAGCGTCCGAATATTTTTGTGAGCCACTTTGTATTGTGTACAATACCTAGACCAACGACTATTTTAAGTAGCTTAATCATATTCAAGGACAGCTGCTCCATACTTGCTACCGTGCTACAGTAGGCTACAATATTTCGGAAATCTATATATACTATAATATACTATAATTTTTGCTTCGCGCTGTTGTTTCTTCGTGGCTTGCTGTCGGAGCGAGTTGATTCCTTGAGTAAACGAAGCGTGCGTCGATGCTCACAGCAGCCGCAGCTTGCCTTTCGCTCGTCAACATTCGAAAATCGCTTCTAAATTGAAGAAAAGTCTATGGCTGTCCATTGGTATCGATAAGTTATCTTCCCTCAATCTCTCACACCTTTTCTTCCCTCAAGATGTTCTATTTCATACTGCAGTTAGCGTCGAACGACCTACATGTTTTTGTGGTTGCTGTGAATGTTTAAAAGCTCTGTTCTTCACTGTGTCGATTTAATCCGAATCTCAATCTGATACGCGAGTATTATCCTTAAAAGCAAATTCCATGGATTCTTTGTTGAGATAACAACTTTCTACGCGACCTTTCGAAGAAAAATATTAGAACACTGGGAAGGGCTACTCCTGATTCGGCTATCAGTCAGACAGCCAAGGAGAGAAAAGCTGTCCACACACATCGGAATTACCGATATGTTCGCAGCTCCCTCTCACCCCGCTCCCAAAAAACATCAGCCGATTTAATAATAATTAAATTTAATAATTTCAGACTGTTCATGATCACACATGCGTGTGCAGCTCGTAGCACGCAGCTCGTTAAGCGTAAAATCCGCTACGTTCATTTGAAGGCGAATACGAAGGTAGCATAATTGATAAACTGGTTCGAGAGCAGTCGAGGTACGTTTGATTTCGCAAACGATGTAGAGGGAGGTAGACTTTCGTAAGTGATGTAAGGGACTTATGTAATTGGTTAATGGTTGATTAAATGACAAATTCCTAACACGAAAGTGACATATCGATAGGTTAGCCGAGCGATTAGACAGTTCTAGCGAAGCGTCCTCTGCGTCGTCAAGGAAACCAGATTACATTAAAGCTACCGTATCACGTACTGTTAACCAACCTCTGGGCCTCGTTGACGATTGTCTGTCACGGAAGTCTCTTTAGCACGTGCCCCTAAAGCGGCGCTGCTTACGCGGCAATGCACGACTCTCAGTATACATGAATTTCACGAAACGGCTATCAGTTTCAAGTAACCTACGACGAAATATATTGCGATACGTGTATCGATCTTTAGATTTCACGAGATAGCGTAGTTCGCGTTTTGATGCGCTAACGTCGGGGCATAGGATCTTTGGGGATATACGAGATATCCTGCAACGTTGGTGTTACGAATAACAACAGATAAAGTAATAATGAAAAAAGAGTCACGGGACTTTACTTACCGATTAGGTCTGTAAAAGTGATTCGTGCGAAAACCTCAACTTCCTCATCGCCCAAATCACCTATTCTGCACGAGAGATGATTCGCCAGCAAGGTAATCAGAAATACAGGTATAACATATGGCTGAAACCGTGACTTTTGTGTTGACGAAGATAAAAATCGTCGTTAAGTGTTTGATGCTGTTTGGACTTCGCCATATTGTTTCTCAATATTCGGCGCCAATTTTAGAAAACGATAAGGATACATCATTGTTGCGCGGACGAAGGAGTATAAGTCAGAATTATGGTATTAGTTTTGCGGAGGAGCGCTTACAATATCCTAGATGCGATATAAAATTAGACGTAGGTGGTTATGGTTAGGTGCATTGAAAATATTCTTCATAGAAATGAGGCGAAGAAGGATAAAGTAAAAGGCATAAAGTAAATTTCATGGCATTTTGAAGTTAAGAAAATAAAATTTATCGAACTCAAGAATGTTGATGTCTATGAAGAGAAATTAAAAATGCTAAACTTAAATTAAAAATACTCGTTAAACGTTAATGAAAAAGGAAAGAATTATGGTAGAATTATTATGGTAGTAGGAAGAATAGTGGACAACTTTCTGCAGTTTACACAAAAAAATGATGCAACCGTTTGCTTGCTGCGTCATTGTTAAATTGCTGAAAAAATTGGAGTTGAAACTAATTCGAGAATTACTTATCAAATACAATCGTGGCTCACGAAAGCGTTCGAATTCTACTAGAAAGTATTTATGTGTATATTACAATTCAAAATATTTTCTAATCTCATTAGTAACGAGATACGACCATCGCGATTATGTTGCTAAAATTGAGAATGTATATAGAAGTTAGATCATTATAGAGAGTTAGAAGATATGAGCAGGAGTCATTTATTCACTGTTAACTAAGCTAGAATACGTGGCGAGACCGTCTTTGGCACTAATTGCATGTTTAAGACCGCTATTCACTAATTTTTTATTCAGCGTATGATTGCAATAAATGTCTTCTAGCTTAAATATATCTACGAATTGGTTTCAAATTTCACTATTATAATACGATAGCCGTGCCTCATTACGGTGCTAACGAAGTTTCGAAAAGTTTCACGTAACGTGTCTAATATATTAAAAAAAAAAAAGAAAAGTTATATTCTGAAAGAATGCGAAGAAAATGGCAAAAACGTATCGTAAACGAAATTCCGTGCCAAGCGTTCGGATACTTCCGTGAGCTACTGTGTATTCTAAACACGTAACAATATTAAACGACTGAAACAAAAATGAACACATGCATCGTCAGCAAAGCATCGATTAACTTTTGACTCGTACGATGGAGGAGGAAATGACGAAGAATTATACTTATCGATGAAAAATATTTTCAATCTAGATGATTTAGATGGCTTCGATTATTACGATGTATCAGTGCATAGAAAAAGAAAAATTACGAAAGCGCGGCGTGAAATGGCTGCAGGGATTACAATGCTTTGAGCAGGTATTACGATGGAAAGACTGATATTCATCCTGAATTGTACGAGATAGCAATCGTGAAAAGAGCTAATGCGGCCATAAACGAGACTGCCTATGTACTTCGGACACAGAGATCCGAACGCAATTAAAGAATTGGAAGAAAAGAGGTTCGCGATTGGTATCAAAATGAATCTCGTGGAAAACGAGAAACTTGCGAGTGCTGAACCGAAAGGAACGTGTCACGAACACCTTATCCAAGAGAATAAAAAAAGCAAGACTCGACCGATTGTGGATCTTAAGTACCGTTTTCAGCGAAGCAGCAACGAGAAACATTTTGTTGGTGTTCCGTGTTTCTTGAAAAGGTCGCCGTTTGTTGTCGAGCGTTTCTCCAAGTTTTTCCTTGTTTCCGTTGCCGGCAACAAATGTCGTCGCTTGTTTCCTGTTCCCATTGGGAATGGTAAAGATCAAAGAAAAATAGGCAACGAAAACAAATGCCCATTCAGTGTATACACGTTACTGGCGACGAATAGCCTGAAACCTAATACAAAATTCAAATGTTCCTTAGATTACGTTGCCTCGGTGTGGACAAAACGTGTCTATAAGCTGCTATTCGTTGGAAATGTCTTGGAACATGTAGCGAAAAGACGTTGTTCGACGTTGCATCAGGGGGGGGGGCGGGTGGTAGAACGTTATTCACACATGGTAGAACAGAAAAATAGATCGTTGCTTGAAATGGCACGCCGCGTGCTGATTGTCGCAAATCTCGAGAAGAAACATTGGAGCGAAGCCATAAATACAGTAACTTGCTTATAGAATAAACTACGGAAGATAAGAGATGACGTGCCTAAAAGAGGACACGCTTGACCATGGTAGATAAAATGGATATGAATGTGAAGCATTTCGATGCGAATACAGCGATTTAGCATATACATATACAGCGTATACATATTCAGCGAATGCTGCAATAGAGAATTGAAGGAGATAATATGTATACATAACGCAACCCGAGGGCTACGCTGTCTCAGGTAAATGTGGTTACGTATGCAAATTGAAAAAGGGCATCTGCGGATTAAACAAGCGGCAACGTTATGAAACGACAGATGTAGGATCCTGGTTTTAAGAAATGCGTTTATCTTACATTTTACTAAGGATATATTTACGTTACATATATTTACGGTGTTGCGATTAATTTTAAGCTCAAACATATTTCCTATTTCGTTTTTTCGATATTTCCAAGAAAGTGAAAAGCAAAGTTGTTTACGTAATGCGTCAAATGTACGCTATAGGATTACACGGCGAGTTATTGACTTTCGTAACTGAAGTAGAAAAAAAAAGGCAAGTTTTCAACAAGACAACGCTTTTATTCGTATAGCCGCCGCTGCGGAAAAGTGGTTCGATTTTGGAATAGAATTATTATCGTGGCCAGCGTCGAGTGCTGATCTGAAACCGATCGAGAACCTGTGGGGAATTGTAGCAAGAAAAGTTGACGATCAGGAGAAGCCAACTATAGAAAATATCAAATTGAACTGAAAAAATGAGTAAAATCCAAAGGTCAGACGGATATCCCAAACGCATAAATTAGTGAACAGTGTTCCCAACAGGTTGATGGAAGTAATCGAAAGCAAAGAAAACCCGCTAAATATTAAAGGAAACAGTAACAAAGTTAACATTGAGTTCCTACTTTTCCACAACCAGAACTTATTTACTTACTAAATCTTGTGTACTCAGGGAGAAAAAGCAAATTCGCAGTTTGTTTACGTGAGTTTCAAATGATTCAAAGCGCAGCCGAAGCTGCACGAAACATTAATTTTGCATTTGGTGAAAGAACGATAACCGGAAGAACGCTATAATTTTGGTTTCAAAGATTCCGAAATGGCGATGAAGGACTTGAAGAGAAAGGGAATCGTATCATCCCGAAAACTCTAGATTTCTATGATCATGGAATGCAAAAAAGCTTGTATCTCGCTAGGAAAAGCGTATTCAATTTAACGGATGTTATTTTGAACAAATAAATTTATTTCGAATAAAAAAGCACAAATTAGGGTATCATGTTTGAAGATCGCGATTTATTTCCGAACTACCTAATAGCAACGCGTGACGTTGGGTGATAGAGCAGTACACTTGTGCCTTTGTGCCGTCCCGCGAGACTTCTTTTCATTTCTGTGTTATACGTCACAGTTAAAGCTATTTTTGTCTTCGCTTCGTCAAATTAACATTAAAGGAAACGTTTTTATAAATCCTATTTGAAGTTATAGTGGATGCGCATCCAGATGTGTCATTGTAATTATAATCCTATTTCGCCGCACTACGGATCTAATAGGCCTAAATAACTCACCAGGGACATATCGCGGATGCATTGGAAAGGAATGACCTGGCGTTGGCTCCAGTCGCAATTCCACACATAGTCAGCGTTCCATCGGTAGAAACAAAAACATCCTGAGGATTTTCGTGGCTAATTTTATGACGCACACTTCCGCAAACAAGAGGCTAATTTCTAGGTCGGGACAATGATTTTAATTTTCCATGTCCATGATGTTCTTAACAGCCAAGCCTGTCATAAAACGGCACCCTCTTATCTAATTGATCGCAAGCTTCACGTTCGTCCAAGTATCGCTCACCCTTTTTCCGACAAGTATCTCCTGTGCTTCGGGCGCACGGAAGTGCATTAGCGACACCCAACGAACGAGTATGCTGATTGGCTAGTTTCTTATGTTTGGTGAAAATCAAGCAACATGTATATTTTCGCATCCTTTTTGCGCCTTACTAGGTACTCTAGATCGAATCTGGCAAGATCAGTCTCGTGTCTTTCACCTGTAAACATCTCCAAGCATTCGCAGAGTTGAAACGATCAGTTGAAACGATCGGTTGTCAGTTTCAGTCGAGTTTTATATCTCGAATCGACTTTAACTCTCAGTGGTCAGAATAAGATATCGCGTGACCATTCATAACGACCATTCGTAAATCTTGTCTCAGCAATTGGAGACAGTTCGAAATTTTCTTATTATTCGGAGGTATCGTACCCTCAGTGTCGTCAACAGTTTACCATTCGCCACTCCTCCTCGTGAGTATATCGCCCAAGGTTAATTCGACGGGTGCAGTGCAATGCAGTGTTATCGTTATCGGATACACATAAAAATACACACACAATCAGTTTTCAGTTAAGTCAGTCACGCTTCAGTTACTTATAATCCAACGGTCAGTCAGTCAATCAGTGAGATACAATTCAGTAGTCAGGATTAGACTTCGAAATCAGGATCGATCAGTCTACCGCAGCAGCCAGAGCATGCAGAACATCCACAACTTAAGTGAGACCAGTTGTCAAACTTTCATAGACAGCACCTGTTTCATCGATCATATTTCACGACAGTCAGGTTGATCGTCGCATTGAATATACCATAAACCAGTATTCAGTGTATTTCTTTTCCCCGCCAAGGGGTGGTCCTTCGAAAAGTTAGGCGATACGAAGTGCAATATCCTAATACATTGGGTGAATCAGCATCCGTATATTATCCATATACGGTGTTCTGTATTTGCATAAGATATATTCGCGAGTATACTGGTTAAGCAATTGTCTTCAGAGCTAATAGGAAGTCGGCTGTATTCTGTTTCAATATTATTTTACCTTTTGGGTTCTTCATATTCACAATGTCGGTTTCTGTTCCAGGGATGGATATTACGCACAAGGAGATCAACGAAAACTAATGATAAGCGCTATTGCGTATTTATAATTGAACGAAACATTCATCCACGCGTTAGGAATGATATTTCTATAATCACATTCAATTCTCGTCTTTCCAAGTGCCTATGTTCGTTTCGTAAGTATCCAGTAATGATATACAGGATGGTTGGTAACAACACAGGGTGGTATTATACAATCGGAAAGGAGTTGATTCTACGCGAAAAAAGAAATCGAAAATATACAATAAAAATTTTTTGTTTGGGGCTTTGTTTTCGAGAAAATCGACTTTGAATTTTCGCTCGGTACGCGTGCACTTTATCACGTCTCGTTATAACGGATCTCACTGTAGACCATTCTCTCGATGGAAAAATTAAAAAAAAAAGTTTTTATTCTATATTTTCGACTTCCTTTTCGCGTAGAATCACCCCCTTTCCGCTTGTACCAGCAGTTACCAACCACCCTGTATACGAGGTTTTGGTTAATGGTATTACATATTTGGCTAATGGAAGTCGTCGATATGCTTCTGTTTGCGAAGAATCGTAAATAATTGTTTTGGTCTTAAAGTATAAAGTTCGAGGCTTATTTGTTGAGAAAATCGAATGTTCCGTTCTTAGACGAAAACGTTTGTTTATAGAATCAAGTACCATTGACGCTAGCCGTTTGGACACGAAGAGGACAATAGCAAGGCCTAATTTCGCGAACATGGAAAACGTCGAAGCCGAGGACTTTCAGGCCTCCCACGTAACGAGATAAATTGCCCTTGTACCCGTAGCGGACATAGACGATAACGCCTTAAAAAGGTTGGTCTAGAGAGTCACCCAATCAACCTCGTGCAATTTTTAACAGAATCGGCTCTATCCATCTAGGAACTGCTCCTCAGCCTCGCAAGTTCGCTTGAGGAGCCAATCAACTACGAACTTCCAAAGCAAACACATAGTCTGCCGCGATAGTTCAATGGAGTCACATGAATTACAGAAATGAAAAGGGATTCGATCAAATTTCTCTATGTAAGTTGTCCTTATTGCCTATGACATAAAAAACGTACATCATTGACGATCAAGCTGAAGCGTATGATACGTTGAATTCGAAATTTCAGTGTGTCGAGCGATGTGCGACGTGTATCGCGTTTCCGCGAATTCCTCTAATGTTTCGTTCACGCGAGCTGTTAGTTTCGCTTAATCGCGACCATGAGATACAGGAACAAGGAATACCTCGAGATAATCAAGACTTTGAATGCCTATAGCGGTTATTATTCGCTGCTGTTCGCTATTGCGGAGAACGTTGTGCCAACCAACGTGTTCTTGATGTCGGAAACGCTCTCTTAGAAAATGCATCCTTTGAATCTCGGTATCGACATTGTAGTCGTACGCGCGGACGTGCCATCGAAGACGATGCTCTAGATTCTAGAAGATTCATATTTATAACAATCCTTGATTAACACCATCGATATTGAGACGAGATTCTGCACGAGTGTTCGTTAGACCCAACTAAGGAATTTAGCCGTAATTCGTTCGTGCTTTAAGGGAGAAATCAACCCTCTCGTCCGAGTCGGCTTTCTATGTAAATGTTTATAGATCGTAAACGACAAGAGATATGAAAAAATAATTCAAACTAAAGTTATATCTTGTCTTGATACCTATTAATTTGTGCGAAAAATTTATTTAAAAATGTTAAAGTAAACAGAGGATTCGGAAATACAAATAGTTTACTTTATTTCACACACAACAGCTATACATATATATTACACTCTGAAGACCTCGATAACCTTCTTGCACTCACGCTTGTTGTCAACCAGACTCTTCTAGAAGCTTCTCCCATCTGGCAACAGTCTTTTGTTTCAACTAAGACCTGGACGCCTTCTAACGCTTACACACACATTCACACGTACAGTGTAAATGTATCATTTACCTAACAAAAAAATCATTTCTTTGCGAAAATTAAAGTGCTTGCCCGCTTTTCTTACAGAAATTTTAATCTTCTTCGAATCCAACGGTGTACCACAGTACATAATTATTGTAATTATTCCTTGCAGAATCGTCACTTTAAGTGCTGTGCTGGCTGTTAATTCAATATGTAGTTGCGATGTTGATAACTTTTGCGATAACGATCGTTTCTCCATACGTTTTACATGAAATAACCATAAGATTAATTTCATCGTAACTCGTCGGGATATTAATCGATGGATGATAACATATTGTGCACACAAATCTTTTAACGAGGTTTATCATGCTGAAACAATAAAAATGCAAATCTATTTAAGACCTATTAATATACAGGACCGAAGGGAATAATTTGTTTTCATTTAATAATTGACAAAAGATAAGTAAAATCAAACTGCAGATAGTACAATGTTACAAAATTCAATGCTTCAGTATTTACCAAGTTATATTTTCTGATGTTCAAGAATGTGTTTCACATTTATACCTACTAAATAGCAGTAATTCTGCGTTTGAACATATTTTGGGTTAGATAGCACTGCTCTGCGTTTTAAGGTTCATTCATCTAACACGGTTCATTGTTCAGGATTGTCTATTCTCTATTCGCTCTTCATCTCATACAAGTTGTTGAAGACTAACTCGCCGGATAGTCGGTCGTGCGAAGATCAGGCGGCCGTGTGACGAACTATGGATCCAAAAGAGGAACAAATCCATGTGAGTCAACCGCGACACAACATTTATCGTATTTCAAATGAATCTCTCCTATAATTAAACTGCCATGTTTACTGGTAGAATTTCTTTAAAAATATTTCAATAATCATTTTAATACACGCATAGTCGAGCTTGTTTTGAAATTAATCACAAATTTCGTCACGAAAAGAAAATTGGTTTCCATGTAAGAAATCAAGGACAATGTAGAAATGTCAAAAAGTGTGAGTGATAGAAAAAAGTGTAATGTGAAGCAGCGAATAAGAATAAAAAATGGAATTATTGAAGTGGTTGTAGCCGCTACTTGTCACAGCTTGTATGTGTACACGTACATTTCTGTATATATATAGATCAAGAAAAGGAAAATGTCCAATAAAAAGTTAAAAACCGCTCTTACAAAGCATTAGGTAATGTTGTGGGAACAATAGAATTTCAAAAGTATTTGAGAACGATATTTACAAACCGCCTATCTGTTCCTATACTGTATCGAACGAAAACTAGTCTATTATTATTTCGTACTGTTGTTGTAATTTTTCAATTAAAGAATTTTTTGGCATGTTTGTATGACATGTACGGACATGCCACATGTATCTCGTCGAGTAAGTAACAAAACTTGCTAGGCCAAAGTACATTGAAGTACTAAAAGAAAAACATTCCAGATGAAGCATTGCGATTGAAGTTGAGATTTTTCATGCACCAAAGACGTTAATGCGCCTATACACCTTTTAAGTGACAAATAAGTCATTCTTACATAATCTTTGGAGAAAAAGCAAAGAGATACAGAAGGAAAGCCTCTTTTATATTTTCTAAGCAGTGGAGCATACTAAGTGATTGAGTATTCTTTTAAAAGCAGTTCTTCTTAAGTTTTTATTAACTTTATAGAGAAGGGATTTTAACCAAAGTTTGCACGCACTATGTTTCACTTAGAAAAAATTCACAATAGCTTTATTGTTGTTGGTAGCCTGTGGATATTTATATTACTGAAATATGTAAAAAAAATATGTTAATATAATACGTAAGATATATTGGAAATCATATTATTTGAACATCAAAGGCCAATTTACGAGTAGAGAACTATCGTTTGATATTATAAGATGTAACAGGCGCATATCTTTTACATCATTAACGATTTCAGCTTGTAAGGTGTCATTAATTCGTAATATAGTTTTGAAACCGAAATTTTTCTTTAAAATTGTGTTCCATTTGGACATCGTCTTCTTCGAAAATTTCTGAAATACATTCATGTACAGCCTTTTGTACTCATTGGCAGGATTTAAAAATGGTTCTTGGTAAGTATACAATTTTTTTAGTACATATTGGAGTATACGTCTACTATATATATTGGTCTTTTTCGCATCTATATCAAAATATTCAATTATGCGATTCAAAACAAAATTCAATTATTGAATATGTCACAAAATACAATCTCCTTAATCAATTTGGAATTGATTAACGGCTTCTTTACATATACAGTGTAGTACAAGTAAAATAAATGTGGATATTTAATAGACTATACAAACGGTTTTAATCATTTTGATCGTTGTCTTTATAAGCTCGAGAGTGTTTTAAATGTGTGTGCCAGGATTGACGTCCATTCGCTATAGGTGCTGAAATAGACATCCATTAAAATGTTTCAAATGGAAATTCGAGTAAGTATTAAATCAAATATTTCCTCTATAATCTATATTAGGAAATCGTCAGTTGTTGTCAGAGACGCATCGTTTTTGTTTTTTTTCTTTATTAGCCAGTAATACCAGTACGTATGAAATGTGTGACTTGTATTGGTTCGTACCACAGACTCTTAGGAAGAATGCGCTTTTATTTGAAAAGATTGAAATATTAAAATCGTGTATGAAAAATAAAATTCTTAGCTTTAAATTGTTATACAACGATAGGTATATGAAGCCAAACACATTTATTAAAAAAGAAACATAATAATTAAGATTTGGAAAATTGGTGCGATAAAATTCGACATCTCACAACCTAATGAATGTTACGAGCGTTTGAAGTTGGTGATAAGTGAAGTAGTTCTACGCGAATAAATGTTAAGCATCCATTAATTATCCATTTTTTAAATAAATATCCTTATTATTCGTGTAAAGTATATAATTTCGAATTACGCGTACACTGAGTATTACACGTTGCTTCCTGTTCGTCGAAATAAAAATATGCAGCAAGCAAACGCTTTGACAGTTGATCGCGGTCGACCGATATCGCGATAACGTAATTCACCAACGAAACAGTAATAAGACTAAATTACAGTAATAAGTTATCTCACTTGTTTTAGCATTTAGTTCGAAGAATAATCGTTTGCTAGTTACCCAAGGAGCATGATCAATCTACGTTGTTAATAAGAATTATAAGGTAATAATGTAGTCACTCGTCTATTCTTTGAAGAAGCTTGAGCACGTAGTTGCCTGTGGCGATAAAGCGACAGAGTGGTCAGAGTGGTCAAAATGGAAGAGAGAAGGAAGCTGAACGAACGGTTGCTCGGCACGCGCGCGATCGAGTTCATGTGTACGACAGAGATAGCTAGGACTGAGAGGAAGGTAAGGGAGTAAGGACGAAGTAGAGGGAGAGGAAGACAGAAGGTTTGTTCCGTTGCTGAAGTTAATGGCACGGGAACAAGTATAGGAGAGACTAGCTGTGCGTGTGCAAGAGGGTGCTGGGGATCGGAGAGGGTCAGAGTGGATCAGGGGCAGAGTGGCGGTAGAGCTGTATCGATGTCCGGGCGCGTTCACCACCGTCGGCACACACGCCGTGTCGGTATCCTGCAAACGACTAGCACACGCCGTCACCTCTCTTCTGCACACGTTCGAGGCCAGTTTCAGCTTTCTCTTTCACTAACATTATACCGTCGTTTCCACTACTGCCGATAACGGCGCCACTATCGCCATCGCTGAAACTGCTACCTATCTTTCTTCCACCTGCATCTTTTGCTGCTTCTGCTTTTCCTTTTCACTGCTCGCATGGAAGAACGCTCTACTCGCTAACCTCGATGTTTGCACATTTGCATGTTAGTCGTAAATTAGACGCTTACATTAACAAAGAGATAACGACAAATAGACAAAAACAAAAATTTCTTGGATTTTAACTTCGACATCAACGAAGGATTCGGATTCGTCAATTTTACGAGTTAATGATTTACAATTCCGCCCGTTCTATTCGTTGACACATAGGTATAATCTGTCTTTTTTACTTTCTTTGTAAATCATCGTTTCGCTTCCTTGGTGGAATCTCGAAGCATCTTCATTTTTGTTATGAAGATACTTCGATTTATTATACTGAATTATCTTTGATAAATTTGATAAGGAAGATACCTTAAATGTAACATTATATATCGAATGCTGACATACAGACCTTCTACTAATTTCTTCTGTTTTGAATTGTAACTGTAAACGATATATTTATTTATCTTTTTATTTTTTCCAAGCAATTTGCGAACAGATCGCGAACCGTATTCGTCGATGGTACAAGCACTTTCGCCAGCAGCGAACAAGTAATGAATTCGTCAGTAAATACCGTTTTCGCTTAGGAAATGGTAGATCAAACGGCCTGCTTCCACCAGGCCAGCTTATGTTTTGTTCGTGAGCTGTTCCGGAGGTAACAAACAAGTTGATGCAGACGCGGTATAAGAAATATTAAGATATAAATAAGTACATACGACGATACAAAATATTCGACTCACACATATCTTTCTTATCTTAGCTTTCGTTTTTCTGTACAGGTACTATTTATAAAAAAAAAAAATGCTTGTTTGTAACTTCGTATTATAGATACTGCAGTATGCATAGTAGTATGCATAGTGTATACTGCGTTGACCAGAAACTTGTATACTTTTTATTTAGGTGTATTATTACTTAAAGCAGTGATTCCCAAAAGGTGCACCTCTGGGATAAAACTACGTGCGCTACCACGAAAGGGCAACACCCTTTTTCTTTTTTCTTTTTTCTTTTTAATCGCGCAATTGCATCTGTGTTGTAGACTCTGGAATTTGTATACCAAGTGAACGCCAGAATATTTGCACAGTTTCCAAAGACCACCGCGCCGTGACTAAACAAATTTTGGGAACTACTGACTTAGAGTTCTATCTTGCGTTACTTTGTTGAAATGCGTATTGTTTGTACAATTATTATTATGAATTTACACATAAATTTTCCTATTGTAGATATGTTTCTTTATTTGAATTTTTCTTAAATTACTTTTTAACTATATTGTGTTTAATATTTTTCTTACGTGTATTTAGTAGCTTTATACATAAAAAATAGTGTTGTCACACTGCAAGAGCGAAAGCGAGTACCATGTTAAGTACAGAATACGATGAGTACAGGTGAACCGATAGTGGCGTTACATACTAAAGCCGCAATTTGCCCGCGATCAAGTTACTTCACGCGATTTCCCATCTATAGTATACACATCGGAGGTTCTCTCTGACATCGCGAACGGCTTTTTTTCAACGATGAGGTCAGCTCTCGCAAAACGAAGGAACAAGACACGCTTTCGCAGAAAAACTATTTAATACGTATTTTTTATTCTTTTTTCTAATATAATACACGAATATTTATGTAATTACAAACTTTCGGGATCCCAATCCCGCTCGAATCTATATACATCGAGTACACGCGACCTTTGGTATGTGCCGCTGTCTCTCGAGCGACTGCGTGAATGTTATTATTTGTTACTTGCAGATTGTGTTTTGATGTTTATCGTTCCTCTTCCTTCTAGTTCTGTTGGTAGGCAAAGACCTCCTATGCATGTATGGTTTAGGCAGATGGTTCTTGTCTTATTCATGATTGTTCTTGTTGATTCTGTTTAATTGGTTCATGTTTGTGTTGGTTTTATTATGCTAAATGTATGCATCTCAGAGTTCCTACTGCATATATGATAACTTTGTAGGATTATGTAGTTCCATAATTTCTATTGATTATAGATAGGTACGCTTAAATTTTATGTTTTGTTTGAAACCGGAATATTAGAATATTTAACTCGTGACGTTGTCCTTTACATTGGCTATTAAGTGTTTCTGTTCCTTCTATTTCTTTCTACTCCCTTTTCTTACGCGTAGCATTTTTCAATTTCGAAGTGTCTTTCTTTGCTTATTCCCTCTGTATTCTACAAGAGTGATTTCATATGTGTGTTTGTGATGTAGCGTATAGTTCAACGTCACCTAAATATAGGCTGAACCAAAATTTAGAGGAGAGCTTGAGAAGTCAATAAAATTTTATTAATGAACTAATTTCAATGATATTATATACAATAAATACTTAACGTATAGAGTATTTTTTTGACAAAATGTGGAACATGACATCTTTTAAACGAGCTCCACTTGCTGCTCTTTCGATTGTTTACTATTTGTATTATCTACTTAGGATTCAAACGTTAGTTTCATCGAAGTTCCTGACTCTATCTGGAGATAACAACGTATCGAACTACGATCCGAGTTGTATTTTGAAAATCGGGGAAGCCTTCTTCAGACTCTGCTCAATTCTTGGTGCCTTCCAATTATGTGTTTTCTGTATGACTATCGTTAACTAGTTACTAGTATAACCTCTATTTTAAGTGTTCTCTACGATATATCTCGACTGATCACGTGTCGATATTTCTGAGAAAGTTTTGTTTTGGGCAATGTCTTCTTTCTCCGTTTGATGTTTTTTTACTTAACGTAATACAATTTTCTGTTTAAACGAATCAATTGTAAGTTCAACAGGTTCTGTATTTTTTCTCAGTTGTTGTGTGTAGTTGATGTCCTTATTTGACCGGTATTCTTCTGCATATGTAGTGTGTTAGTCTTTCTATGTTTGTTCATATTTGTTTAATTTTTCTCTCAATTGTTACTTGCTATGTCGGTTTGTTATTCTTTTGAAATGTTTGATTTGTCTTTATTTGATTTCTTTCGTGTTTCATGTTTTCTGTTCCTGTGATTTTATTCTGACTGTTGTTTGTTTCGTAGTTTACTGTTGTCTCGATTCTGGTATTGTTCATGTACGTCTTCATACTATGATATAATTTGCGAATAATTTTATCAGTAACTAGTTTTGCTCTTGTAACTAATTAGCTCTGTATTGTAGCTTTAAACGTGAATATTCTACTATGCTACTGTTTAGTCGGGTTTCAATATTGTCTTGGAAACGTTCTTTGTACATTATATGCTACCGTTACATTTGGATATTTCTAAATCATTGCAAGTATCTGTTTAAAATATATTTCAGGAATAAAATTCTTTAATGTAATTTTAACCTCCGATGTTACCTGAGACAGGAAGTTAGTAGATCTTGACAAAAATAGCAGCTAACATTAATTAATCGAAACAAGAAGATAGTAATTGAAGGCGGGCGAAAATTAGTTCTGAAGAGAGATCTGAGTTAAGTAACTCTGATTGTGTCTGTTCAATTTAAAGATAAATAGGGAACTCGAGTAACGCAGGCATGTTCTTTGTTTTTGTTCAAATTTGATACAACGTTTGCAGCGGTGAAGTAAAGAGAAGAGAGAGGGTAGAAAAATATTCTCCGATCATAATTTTAAACATTTAATAAAGTTATCAATTTTTTCATCGAATTTCACCATGTCCAACCAAACTTTGACCGAAAAAAATTGTCGATATTCGAACAACCGCAACTTCGTGAAAAAGAATCGTACAGCTGACTTCATCTTAAAGGGTGAAATCTCTGTTTTCTTATATATATATTCTTGAACTCAATTTTTTCCAAAACACCTTTTTCTTACAAAACTGAGTGGGGAAACTGAAGTAGCTTTCCTTCTTTCTCAAATTTTACGAATTCAAGCGATTCCGCAAAGTTTAACAACCTTTTTTCGGAATTCGTTCTAAGATGTGTTTGTAAAGGCGAGTTTCGCCTTTACAAAGATCGCTAAAAAGTTGATGTACGATTCTTTTTCGCCATTTTATCGCACTGTAAATGAAAACTGTGCCGCCGGCATTTGAATAACCCAAGGTATACTACGAGAGGTTGCGCGGTCGGACTTGTACCTTATGTAAGATATGTATTGTGTGTGTGTGCGCATAAAACGTATGAAATAGTAGTACATGAACGATATTGTACTGTGTTTTGTATGTACAGTTTGATGATTTTGTTGTAGTAATGTAAATTCATTTGTTCAAGTTTTAGCCACATTCTACGTAACTTTCCTAATTCTAATCAAACACATGTGTCACCACCAGGTAGCTCCCATGGTTATGGGTTGATTTCCCGACAAAGATTTATCTCCGGCCATTTTTATTAGCCAGTTCGTTATTGTTTTGGCTGTGCTGGTCTTTCCTGCGACATTCTCGATCGTTACATCGTAGGGTTTACTCTTTTTGGAACCAGTTATTTCACACCAATAAGGTAGTTATTCCATAGTGGTAGTGCGTAGTTAAGATCTGCGGGTTTGCCGAGCCCGTATGGTCGAACCAATTATCCTTTGTGAGTTTATTATTATTTTAAAGAATCGGAACTTACTATCGTAATCTCGTAGAATAATGTTGACGATTGCGGCGTTGTGAGGTATTTTAGGTTTCAGAAAATTGGTAATCATAGATCGAATGATCCAAAGCGAAATTAACTTTCCACAGGTCTCATAAATTTGAGGAATGTTAGATTCAGTTCTTAAGCGTTTGGTACAACTGCTATTATTGGAATTATTCATTTTGTCTGCATAGGAAATAACCATTGTACGGTATAGTGTAATTGAATCACTCATGTACGTAAATTTATAGTTTTATTTAGATAAGTGTGATACCAGTCTAGATTTTATACAAAATCTAAGCAAATTTAGCAATTATTTCTTTATGAAGAAGAACAGAATTTACATGATGATGCATAAACATTTGGTAAAAAAGATTAGCACAAAAGTAATAATTTAAAAAATATTCTTCAAGTCAAACATCTTTCTTTCGATTACGTGGCTAAATTAATCATTTAAAAGTATAAAATTCCGTTCTTTATATCATTTGTGGATTTTTGATATTTAACAAATGATCTCTCTCTTCTACTTCTATGCGATAC